GACTACTGCGAGTTCATAAGAAAATAATGTAATTACAGATGTGGTGTATAATGACATGCACCAAATCAAAGATTGCAGTTAGAAATCCGGCATGAAGCCAGCACCCGTTTTACGTTTTTTTTATCAATAGATCATGCATTTTGTGTTTAGTGCGCAACCGTGGTATGGATGGTAAAGTTATGAAACTTACAAAAGCATACGACGTTAATATCTCTTAACATGAAATGTTGTAAAATTATGTTGGCCTTGGTGGAATTAGAAGTGATTGGAGCAAATCCAAACTTGTTAGTACAGCTTTACGCTAATGTATGTTTTGAGCTTTATATATTTGATCTGAAGTGTGTGGGAAAATTTGAAAAATCCAAGTCGTTAAGCGTCTACAAGAAATCAATGATTGCTTGTGTTTCAAATTACTGAGAATGATAAAGCATGAAATCTTTTTTTCTACTAGTTTGTTGCAGAAATTTCACCTCTAGATGCTAATCCATCATAATAAGCGTTGTAGTAAACTCACTAGAGCTGATTTGAAGGTCGCATGTTTGACGGTCGTGTGGATAAAGGCAGAACAGCATGAAGCAGTTGCACACGGACGTAATTCTAACAAGACCTTTTTGAAAAATTAAGTAAATTTTCCAAATACGTTCATTAATATACCTCATAGTGTATTTAACAAGACCATCTGGAAATATCCTCATGCGAAAATTTGGAAACGAAACTGTATGGAGATATGAGAACTTTGAGTTCACGAAATATGGATCAGGCTTCCAGATTAAATCTAGAATTTGCTGCTCGCGGATCCTTATAGGCTTCGTATAATTATTGGCTAATCTAAAACATTTAAATGAACAAATCTAGTTTTTGCCAAACACAGGACCATATACATACCTGAGATCATACCAGCTGAGTTCCATTTCAACATCGATAGAGTACTCCATCAGTTCGCTGTCAAAGTTTGCAAGGTAAAGAATGTTCAACTGCACAGCGACAATAACCGGAATATCTTGAAGATGATGAAATTGAAGACTTTTCACAAAACACTTCTCCATCTAATTAAAACAATAAGAATTTCTTTGATTTTCACCTGAAAATGCAGTCGGAACAGTGTTGTGTCGTAATTGATGCTTGACAACACAGGTAGAATAAAGCTACTCCCGTAATCGCTGAAATGTTAAAGACATGAGAAATCGGGCCTCAACTGCAGATGCAAAAAAGTGTCCAAATTCTACTAATTTCTTCCTCTAACAATTCAGTCGCCTTACACTTCACAAGTTATGCTCCACCATAGTCTTGCATGGGTTTTTCATTATTTGTGTTAATGTAGGCGACCGTCGAAATTATACTGCAAAGCAGTTAATAAATGGGAAAGTAGCCTACGAGTTCAAAATAGAATTCTGGAGGACTTGAAATCCTAACACTTATAACTTAAAACGGATATCAAGCAAACCCATTGCCAAAGACGATTTGTTTTGCTTAGAGTATATTTCATATCAAGAAAAGAGACGAAATATAATGTTAATATAATATAATGTGTTCGACACCAAGAGTTACCCCGTGATTGTCTACCGCTTTACCGTGGCATCGAACCACGAGTCCAGCGGAGGCTTATCCTCCAGCAGGGTCCCATGCTGAGAAGAAGTTCGACATTTCCAGCTCCCCTCCCCTGGACCACGGTTAACCAGCTAAAAATAGGCCACCCCAGAAGCACCGCCGTCTGGCTGATTCAGTCGCTAAGTGGCTCCCTGATCCGCATGAAGTCAACTTGTGGTGAAAGCTTGGCAGGGCCCTGGCAAGATACTGCTGGAGTTTGAGGAGATTTCCTTTAATTATTGCCTGTACAGCATGTAAGAGAAAAAGAAGCCCTGCACACTGGATCACATCTACGGCATCGGATGT